AATTGATTCTTTCCTTATTCTATTGATTCCCTGTTTCTTGGATTAATTTGAAAACTTCCCTTTTAGAATTTCGAGTCTCTTGTCTTTAATTTGATTTATTCATGGGAAACCATGCTACTCTCCTTAAGTCAGTGATTTTGAAATCCTTGACTCCTTGATTTGCTATGTACTGATTTTCGATTCTGCAACTTTACTTTGTTTTCTTACCTTATTTGGTTAACCGAGTATTTCAAAGATTCTTCCCTTAATTGAACCTCTATGTACTTACCCCTAATGGTCTATTCTATACATGGTGTTTTACTTGATTTCTTTCCTTAAATGATTTCTGCCCATTACCGTTTGAATTTAACTCCTTAATTAAAGGAAGTCTTATACTGATTTAATTTTAATTGGTACATAGTTCCATAATTATTTTCTTGGCTTATTTTCTACCTGTTTTAAAGCTATAAATACCCTGGCTCTTTCATTAACACACATACGAACACTCTGAGCTCAAAAATCACTTACACTAAAAACATTCTCTCCTGCTTTACTACTTCTGCTGTGGCCTGCCTTCAAAGTCCTGTCACCTGCTTTTACTGTATTTTTGCTTCTTGGAACTGGTATGTTCTGAATAAGATTCCAGCATCACAACAATGTGTTTACTTAATGCTTTTACCTTCTTGCCTGCCTACCGCTTGTGTTTAGTTCAGTACTTATTCTAGCATGCTGTAATTTCCTTATGCCTGTTCTGAATTTATTATTCATCCTAAACCCCCACCCCAAATTGTTCAATGCTTAGGGTTTGTATGAGGCATGCCAGTATTGCATATTACTGCCCATGACTCAAGCTTGATCCCTGGGATCCTAACCTCTATGTTTCTCTGCTATTGTGTGTTCTGGTGAGCTTATAGGCATGGCAGCATCTTCTATTGTTGTGCATGCCCAAAGCTTACCCTTGCCTAAGCATAGGCTCTTTGTAATTTCCCAACCCCCTTGAATCCCTTTGTATGAAATTATCAACTTGTTTGTGCCCGTTTCCCTCTCCTTTTATTCCCTCAGAACTCTGTTTCTTCACTTGCACTCTCTCTTAGACTTAAGTTCTGCCCCCCCTTGTGAGCCTTGCCTTGGGACCCTTTGAGCTCCCTTTGAACTTGGACACCTAAGGGTTGGCACTTCCACACTGCACTTGTCCCTATTCTGGTAATACAATTTGGGTGTGAGCACTGCCCGGAGTCCCATTGAGGCTCTTAGGGAACTCTGACACACTCAAATTGGAGAAAGGCTTTGAATCGGTGGTTTTTGAGTTGGTCTATCTCATAATTCAGACAGGAAGTCAAGAATCAGGCCTTCTATGGTTGTAATTATTTTCTTTGTATTTTCTGATGTATTTGTTACTCTAGTTTGTAATAATTTGTAAAGAATACTTGGGGTTGGCTAGTGAAACAGGGTTGGGGTAACTATGCATGCAAAGGGTAGAAGTCATGCCTATAGGACTGTT